CAAGACCAGCAGTTTGAGGGAGAAAGATCTACAGTACAGTAACAGTGGACTGCAGCACATAGGGGCTGGTTGTCAAAGAAAGCCACATTATTCACAAGAGACAATGTTCTTTACTTGGTAAAAATCAGAACACAATACCTAATACTCATTGTCCTGTCCCCAAAATATATTGGCATTGCTTGGGGGTGTTGGTTAACCACAGCTGGCTGTAGAGAGACATCTTTCTGTGGGTACACATTGTCATTTATCCTGAACTGATTCAGCTAAGCTCTGCTCTACCATTTATCTTATTAGGTGCTGAAGTGTTGCTGGTCCATTAAATTGATTAAGAAGCTTCTACCAAGTGCTGACGAAGCAAGTGTAGTTATTTCTTATGGAAGGGAGTCTAAAGTTGCACGGGGAGACAGCAGTGGTGCTTCAGCAGTGCAGTTGGAAGTTTATAGGTCTGTGTTGGTGCATAGAGTAGACGGTTGGTTCAAAAGTGTGAGCCAGAGCTTTTTTTTGTCATTTAGCAGACACTCTTATCCAGAGCGAATAGGGTTAAGTGCCTTGAGCAAGGGCACAAACAGATTTTTCACTTAGTTGGCTCTGGAATTCGAACCAGTGACCTTTCGGTTACTGGCCCAAAGCTCTTAACCGCTAGGCTACCTGCCACCCGCTAGGCTACCTGCCAATGTTGCCAAAGTTACATAATCTCTTGTAACATTTATTGTTCACTTTCAATTTAATCTGGGAGTGCTTATTCTTTTTTACAACGGGAAATAAATAATACACATGGGGGGAATTAATTTTATTGCAGCAATGCAATGACAGAGTGGAGAATTTACCGTTCCAGGATAATTGAACTACTCTGTTTTGTTTTTTTACATTGTTTTGGTGGGTCTTGGGTTGTTTGTGTCTTTATCCTTGTGACGAGTACTGATATACGAAGAAGCAGGACGCAGACGCAGGAATTAACAAGGTCAAGGTTTACTTAATAATGAGAAAGAGAATAACAAAGAGAGAGTAAACGACACTTAACAATTACACACAACACAATACTGAACAGTCCAGGGCTAAACAGGGGTGGTGAAGAAATGATGAGGTGCAGGTGCGCTGGAGGTGATTAGGGTGCGTTGGGTTTCCATTCCGGTGTTGCCGAGGTGGTGCGCTCAGAACGGTGGCTCAGTAGACCGGCGAATCAGAGCGCCGGAGGGGAGCAACGGGAGGAGACGTGACAATCCTCATTTGAATCATGGGAGATATGAAAAAAGAAACTGGAAACCAGGCATGTAAAGTAGTGATTGGTTGAGCAGGAAACGTATAATAATAATAATAATAATAATAATGCTTATCAAGGACCCACAGTTGCTTATGTCACATGTACTGTAATGCTTGGAGTTTCTCAGAACCAGTCAAATGCATATATTTCTGCAAAAGATGTAGAAGTATATCTATAATAATCAGATGCACTTATGCGCCATTACATTGTAACAGCTGGACTCGAGCACCTCTTACATAACACACACACACACACACACACAAATAAATAACTAAGTGGTTACTTAACATATTCTGGCACCGCAATAAATCGAGGAGGGAGGGAGGGAAGGAAGGAAGGAGGGAAGCTTGCTGTGTTCTCTGGCTGTGCAGACGTTAGGCTCCAACCACTCCCTCAGTGAGATCTCCATTAGGCACCCAGAACCAATGTGGAGAAAACCTCAGCACCCCAGAAAAATAATGATGGTCTCGAGATGGACACTGCCATTTATTGGCACTGGGGCGGACCCTGGAGACTCTGTTGTAGTTACAGAGTTCTTCCAGCTGTTTATGTTATCCTCGACTCACTTAGAGGCCTCCGTTAGGGGCCATGTCATCATTGCTGACATCATAACTCCCCACCACAGGCCCTGGGATCAGAATGGACCCTGACAGCCAAGGGCCAGGAGGACAGGCCTGGGATCAGTGGTCAGAGACCTGCGGTCTTCACAGCATCATTACACTGTGGTGTCCAGCCTGCATGTCTAGGTCCCTAGTTCCACATGTCCTGACCAAGGTCAGCTGTACTCACTGCAGTCATCAATATAGATTTCTCAGAGGTTTCTTTCCTATTTGTGTTCTTTAGAGTGACACTATCTGGCAAGCACATCCTTTTCAATACAAGCCCATTAAGTGTGAACTTATAGTTCTAATGAAGCACTACGAATGTCCCTTTGAATCAAAGTCAGAGTTACTCAAACTTGAACTCAAGAATGGTGAGGGATTCCAATTGTTGGGTCCTGAATTTGCTGCAACAACAAGCATTGGCTGCACTCAATCCCTCCCAGTAACGTCCAAACTCTCTGAGACCCGATCCAATATGTTTAAGCAGTTTGTTATTTCTGTGTTTTTATTGGAGGTATGTTCGTTTAATGAGACTCGAATGGGAGCAGAAGAGGGCCTAGCGCCATTTTGTTCCCAATCCAAACAAGAGCTTTAGAGCAGGATTTCTCTCCTTATACCTGGCTCTATGCATCATAACATTGTGACCATGAGTCAGGCCTGGCCTTCTCCGAGGGCACGATGTATTCCAGCTGGTTTCTCTACGAGATAGCAGGGGCCTCTCGTCACAACGGACAGCTCCCGCCAACTGCTCAGTGTGAGGGACAGGCCATCTCCAGGTTTAGGCAGAGTTTTGTGGACTACTTTCCATCAGATCCCTATGGGCCCTGGTCAAACATAGTGCACTATATAGGGAATAAGATGCCATTTTGGATGCATCCTTAGGGGTATGATGTCACCTTGATCATTCAGACTGATGGGATTCACATTGAGATCACAGTGAGTGGTTCAGAAGACCAAATAGAGGTGAATGAGATAGATATTTACTAAATATTTAGATGTATTCACTCTCCATGGGGACGGTAGAAAGCAGATGTTTCCGGTTTTCAGGGATACAGTATTTTCAACCTAACTTCCGTTTCCCCTTACATCGTTTTTTTATTTTTTTTTACGCCTGCAACGTTAGGTTAAGATGTATTAATAATACAAATATTTCCAATTGACAGTAAACCTCTATCAACCATCTCAGTTGACCATAGATGCAAATAAACAATGCCAATAGATGGTGCTAGAACCCTGCTTTGCTGGGTTCTTTCCTCTGGTCTTAACAGGCCTTGAAGTGGCAACTGTTAACACTGTAAAATTGGTGACACCTCTAAATGCAATCTACAATAACATGCTGGAAAAGGTGGGGTTACAAAAGAACATAGCAGACATTGTATTGAATGGAATCAAAATATTTGAGCAAATAAGGACTTGTAGTTCTTTCCTTCAGCACTACATGGTGTCAATCTACAGTTGAAGTCGGAAGTTTACATACACCTCAGCCAAATACATTTAAACTCAGTTTTTCACAATTCCTGACATTTAATCCCAGTAAAAATTCCCTGTTTTAGGTCAGTTAGGATCACCACTTTATTTTAAGTATGTGAAATGTCAGAATAATAGTAGAGAGAATGATTTCTTTCAGCTTTTATTTCTTTCATCACATTCCCAGTGGGTCAGACGTTTACATACACTCAATTAGCATTTGGTAGCATTGCCTTTAAATTGTGTCAAACGTTTCGGGTAGCCTTCCACAAGCTTCCCACAATAAGTTGGGTGAATTTTGGCTCATTCCTCCTGACAGAGCTGGTATAACTGAGTCAGGTTTGTAGGCCTCCTTGCTCGCACACACTTTTTCAGTTCTGCCCACATATTTTCTATAGGATTGATGTTGGGGCTTTGTGATGGCCACTCCAATACCTTGACTTTGTTGTCCTTAAGCCATTTTGGCACAACTTTGGAAGTATGCTTGGGGTCATTGTCCATTTGGAAGACCATTTGCGACCAAGCTTTAACTTCCTGACTGATGTCTTGAGATGTTGCTTCAATATATCCACATAATTTTCCTTCCTCATGATGCCATCTATTTTGTGAAGTGCACCAGTCCCTCCTGCAGCAAAGCACCCCCACAGCATGATGCTGCCACCCCCGTGCTTCACGGTTGGGATGGTGTTCTTCGGCTTGCAAGCCGTCCCCTTTTTCCTCCAAACATAACGATGGTCATTATGGCCAAACGGTTCTATTTTTGTTTCATCAGACCAGAGGACATTTCTCCAAAAAGTACGATCTTTGTCCCCATGTGCAGTTGAAAACCGTAGTCTGGCTTTTTTATGGCGGTTTTGGAGCAGTGGCTTCTTCCTTGCTGAGCGGCCTTTCAGGTTATGTCGATATAGGACTCGTTTTACTGTGGATATAGATTATTTTGTACCTGTTTCCTCCAGCATCTTCACAAGGTCCTTTGCTGTTGTTCTGGGATTGATTTGCACTTTTCGCACCAAAGTACGTTAATCTCTAGGAGACAGAACGCGTCTCCTTCCTGAGTGGTATGACGGCTGGGTGGTCCCATGGTGTTTATACTTACGTACTATTGTTTGTACAGATGAACGTGGTACCTTCAGGTGTTTGGAAATTGCTCTCAAGGAGGAACCAGACTTGTGGAGGTCTACAAACATTTTTCTGAGGTCTTGGCTGATTTCTTTTCATTTTCCCATGATGTCAAGCAAAGAGGCACTGAGTTTGAAGGTAGGCCTTGAAATACATCCACAGGTACACCTCCAATTGACTAAAATGATGTAAATTAGCCTATCAGATGCTTCTAAAGCCATGACATCATTTTCTGGAATTTTCCAAGCTGTTTAAAGGCACAGTCAACTTAGTGTATGTAAACTTCTGACCCACTGGAATTGTGATACAGTGAATTATAAGTGAAATTATCTGTCTGTAAACAATTGTCATGCACAAAGTAGATGTCCTAACTGACTTGCCAAAACTATAGTTTGTTAACAAGAAATTTGTGGAGTGGTTGAAAAACGAGTTTTAATGACTCCAACCTAAGTGTATGTAAACTTCCGACTTCAACTGTACATCCAACACAAAAATTATATTATTTACATGATTTGAGTCAACACAAATAAGAAGTAAAAAGTCACACCAACTTGAATCCATTGATTTATTTTCAAACTCCACTTAATAAATAATGCACACGATTTCAGAACATCAGGTACACAATTAAAAGGGTCAAAATAGCTTCTTGTTTTTTTTCCTCTATAGAAAGAACGCAGGCACTTCAGCAGCTATTACAATAAGAGTTGTGCAACACAGTAAAAACAGGTTACAGGAAGAGTACACAGCTGAGGTCAAAGGTCAAACCCTCCTTGCCATATTGGCAACGCAGGCACAGTACATCTCCCCCACAGACAGACAAACAGTCACAGCATTGAGAAAGGTAGTACAGTACTCATACAGTAGAAAAGAGAAGTGGACTTTAAAGGAACACCCATAAAACAGGTCAAGCTACCAGACTATCTGCCCACAGAGTCCACAAAGTGCCAGTTGAAAGGCCCTACCCATAGGCCTATAGATGTATTGTACTGTACTGTGCATATCTGTCTCTATACAAATGCATGCTAACGTTGGCAGGCACATACCATTACAGTGCAGGACATAATTTGGCAAAACACAGAGGTGTGACAGTGTGCGTGTGACTGATCGAGAGAGAGAAAGAGAGAGTCTGAACGAACACAACAAGTGTAACTTTCATATGAACATAAGGACCCAAAGCATTTCTAAAGGATAACTAAAAACAGAAATATACACGAGACCCACTCACTCCAAAACACAACTGAAAGTAAGAATGGTGCAGGGAATTTCATCTGGTTATTTTAAAGATTTGGTTTCATATTTCATTAGGTGCTTCCACAACGGCATGCTTTGGATAGAAACTAAATGGTCAGCTTAAAAGCAAATATATTTAACATCTTAAAAGTACATACAAATCTAAACCATTGTGTGTATGAGTGGGGTTGTCTCACTGTCAACAGTTACACCTTCTTCATTTACATAACTATCAATACAAATAACACCTAGCTCCTCTTTAAATTAGTCCCAACAACACTGATAACAGTAAATCATGTGATGTCCGGGAGAAGGAGGACAAGGTGGAGAAACGTGAGCAGTGAGTTTCTCAGCAGAGTAAGCCAATTCAGTAACCTCTTTAGCCAATGGACAGGGGATGATGTTAATGAATCATACCACACAATACCAACACCAAGATAGAATGAGCAACACCCAACAGAAATATCAACAACAAAAGAGACTGAAATAAAACCGAACATCTGACGAGGTCTCCTTGCCCTGACACATCACGCCATTGGCTGTGTTAAGAGGCTCTGGATACAGGGGTAGAGTAGACGATCACCGATCACAACCAGGGACCACTTCCTGTCTTCCTGAGGGCCGGGTCAGCTCTGATTGGTTCAGCTCCATTTTGGTCACGTTTGATTGGCTTTCCGCTTGTCGTTGGTGATAACTGTCCAGTCCCCTTTGTGTCAGTGTGAATACACCTGCATCCACCTCCAATGAGCATGTACTGTGCATGGGGAGTGAAGGACAGGTGGTGGAGGGAATGGGGGAGTGGGGTTAAGGGTGAGAGGTTGCGGTGTCCTGTGAGGCAGGGGTTAGGGGTCAGAGGTTAGACTAGAGGCTCACACCTGGCTGACATGCAGGTCTGAGTCCATCGAAGCTGAGGGTGGAGATTTCAAGTTGGTCGCCCTCTACTTCGCTGCGCCGTTTCCATGGTGACAGGTCCTCCCGGTCAGCGTTGATGTGGTACAGGGACGAGGCGCTCACTTGGACAGGCGGGGGGTCTCCTGGAGGGAGAGACGGGAGCGGGGTGGTGGTGGTGCCCCCGGGTGGCCTCGCCAGGGCAGCAGGCCCATGAAGTCCTGGCTGTCCCAGGTAAGGGCCCGGGCCCCCCTGGGGCTGGGGGTAGGGTGGCTCTGCCTGGACGGGCGAGCGAGGGGCGGGGGGTCCCCCGTGGTTGCTGCTGCAGTAGAAGGTGGAAGGGGTGCTGGTGGTGGAGTGGTCGCTGTGCTCCTGCATAGTGTAGGGGAGGGAGGGAGGGGTGGAGGGAACGGACAAAGTCATTCAGATTCAGAAGCGCAAAACGCAGGGAGTCAGTCACAGTGCTGTAGAGGGGGCAGTGGCACAGGGTGGCAGGGCAGCAGCAGTAGTAGCAGTAGCAGTAGTAGTAGTAGCAGTATCTATAGTGGTGCTGGTGCAAAGGGTTATAGTAGAGGAAGCAGGAGTGAAACAAAGGCAGCAGATGTAGTTGGAGGAAGAGGAAGCAGAATGGCAGCAGCAGCAGTGGAAGGGATGGTACAGTAGCAGTGGAATGTATGGTACAGTAGCCAGTGGAAGGGATGGTACAGTAGCCAGTGGAAGGGATGGTACAGTAGCCAGTGGAAGGGACGGTACAGTAGCCAGTGGTGGTACAGTAGAGCTCACTTGGGGAATGTTAGAATCTCACTGTCACATTTTACTCTCTGAAAAACACGACAGGGAGAAAAGACAACAATGAAAACAGACGCCCAAAAGTTAGCGAAAAGATGACCAGTTACAGCGAGCGAAAACACTGTTTAGGCGTATCTCGTTTTAGCAAGGGTGTGAAAATATTAGATCACGAGGAAGTGATAGATGGGAAAAAGTGACACACAGCGCGAGAATCCAGGAAGAATGGACAGAGGGATGATGGGTAGATGGGTAGATGGTAGAGCTCAGAGAACGTAAGTGTGTGTTGAAGGGGTGGGGTGCATGAGGACATGTTGACATGAAATCACAGTATTACTAGGTCATTAGAGAACATGAAAGGCTTCAAACTACTAGACATCACAGGAGGTTGGTGGCACCATAAATGGGGAGGACGGGCTCATAGTAATGGCTCCATGTGGTTTCCATGTGTTTGATGCTATTCCATTCACTTCAGCCAATATTATGAGCCGTCCTCCCCTCAGCAGCCGGTGCTAGTAACCAGAGACTCTAAAAGCAATGCGGCAATGTTAAAAAGTCTAAAAGTTGGCAAGTGGAAGATGTTGAAGCCAATGAATGAATGAATGAAGATATAACGGTCAACCTTGAGGATTGCGGTGTGTGTGTGTGTGTTTCTAGAAGAGGTGGGGGAACATGCATCACCAGACCTAGCTAGCAGCTAGCGGTAACTGCACTACAGACTACTGCACTACAGTTTCCCAAGCTACATTGGAACCCAGTGACGCAAGACCAATCTATATGGAATAATTGCTTGCACATGGAGGCCAGATGTCCGTTTTTTATTTTTTCATTGTCTGTGTAAAGGAACGGACACAAAATATGTTGTAATGCATTAAAGTGGGATGAGGATGGAGGAAGAGGAGGTAGAAGGAACTGAAAACCAATGATGACACAGAGGGGTTTTTCAAAGAAGCCTGGTAAGGACCAGACCAGTCGATACTGAGCTCTGGAAGGAGGAGGAGTGAAGTCATGTGAACCAGGCGAGTTAGTCTGACCAATCAATGGCAGATTAGATTATGTCTGTCCAGACCAGTTAGGATGGAGAAGGGGGAGGGGCTAATGATCAGCCCTCAAGCATGAGATGGAGGTATATCTGTTATCTATTAACTGGGCTTGCTTGGGTGTTTCAGAGGGGATTAAGCCGTAAATCAAAGCTCCATTCCACTACATTAGACTAGGGCTGCGTCCAAAATGTCACCCTATTCCATATATAGTGCACTTCATTTGACCAGAGCCCTCTCTATGTGTCCTGGTCGAAAGCAGTACACTAAATAGGGAAAAGGGGTTTTGACCAGAGCCCCCCCCATGAGCCCTAGTCAAAAGTAGTGCACTATGTAAGGAATAGGGTGCCATTTCAGATGCAATCTAGGACTACGTCTGCAAAACAAACAGAGGAAGCTGCTTGACTGACACGGGGGCTCACATACGTGCTGCATTCACCATTGCGGAATGTATACCTCTGTATACAAGGGTTCGACAGCCGACGGGCCTGACGCATCTGCAAGAACACAGCAGTGCACATCTTTGTTAGAAGAGAGAGAACGTGGGGGGGAGGGGGAGGGGAGGACGCTCCGGCCAAGAGGGGGAGAGAGGAAGGGAGGAGAGAGAACAGGAGAGGGTCTGGAGGTGTGTGTGTGTGTGTGTGTGTGTGTGTGTGTGTGTGTGTGTGTTAGGGTAGCCGTTGGTTGGGGTTTGAAGTGTGGATCTAGCTGCATCACCTGGTTGTGAGTAGAGATCGAATACTGCCTTGTGTACTATAATTAGTGTACACTTATGTCAATGCAAAAATAGGACATGGAAACCAACAAAACAATTAGGAAAATCAAGGTGGCACACAGGTACAGAAATCTAACTGTGATGTCCAATTTTTAAGCTGGGGTGGAGGGTGGGTGAATGGGTTACATCCAAACTGGATCTTAATGTTTACTCTTCAACAGACAGAAACGTCTAGAAACTAGAGACACTAGCCAAACCGTAACAGCGGATGTAAACATGGATTTCCTCCAGAGACAGTAAAGTATCTCCCCTCCGAGCAGAGGTCTCCAATACTGGTCCACAGGACATGCAGGTTTTATTCTAGCCCAGCACAGACACACCTGATCAAGCCCTTGGTTAGGGGAACCAGTTGTGTTCTGTAATTCTTGGCTAGAACTAAAGTGTTGAAAGTGTTGATGCAGGACCAGTGGCTCAGGCCCAGCCCCAAACTGAATACGTACAGAGGCAGCTGAGCGTCCAGGCCCCCGCTGGGCCACAATGGCTCCTGAGATGGCCTTGATCCAGCTGTGCATCTCTTCTGGACTGTCCGACTAGAAAGGGGGGGGGGGGGGGGACGAAGAGGGGACACGTAGGAAACAGAGAGAGAGAAGGAAGAGGTCACTGTGTGACAACGGCAAGGAACACTAACTGTCTCTCTTCGTCAGTTGGACTGGAATGAAATCAATATATTCAGACATTATCCGGAGAAAGAAAATGTCTCACCTGCATGTAGAAGGTCCTTGAGCTAGTGACGACTTCAAATAGATTGTCCCTCTGCATTAAGTCACTGGATGGAAAGAGATGACACCACTTTCAATAATATTCAAACATCCCAGTGATGGAAACCACTGGGTGTGAATGTAAGAGAGTGCATCGCCGTCGAAGGGCGACGGTAAACTCACTCTGTTTGTCCATGTCCAACATTTATTATTCTAATCTGTGAGCACGTTACAGTTGGCATCCATGTTTGTATCCCAAATGGCATGCTATTCCCTATACAGTGCACTGCTTAAGACCAGCGCCCAATTGGCCCTGGTCAAAAGCAGTGCACTAAATAGGGAATAGGGTGCCATTTGGGAGACATGCCATGTCTCCTTCCCAGCCCGTTCACTTTGGCACTAGGCCTGTCAGCGTCAATAGCCAACCTTTCCAGCTCAGTGACTAAAGTGTAAAAGACACTGACCTCTGTTTGCACTCTTGAACTTTGTGAACCTCTTTCAGCGGGATCACACGCAGAGGCTCCCTCTCCTGAGAGAGAGAGAGAGAGACAGAGAGAGAGAGAGAGAGAGAGAGAGAGAGAGAGAGAGAGAGAGAGAGAGAGAGAGAGAGAGAGAGAGAGAGAGAGAGAGAGAGAGAGAGAGAGAGAGACAGACAGACAGACAGACAGACAGACAGACAGAGAGGAAGAAAGAGGAGATAGACAGAACATTTATTCAAAACATAATTCACCTGACAACACATGACAACATGGCAACTAAAATTAAAAGCTAATGTAGCATGATACCCCAAGAGCTACTTCCTGATATACTTGAATAGAGAGGACAGAGAAGGGAGGAAGGGGAGTATTCATGATCCTTGACATTATGCTATACTATTAGGAACATAATAGGATCCCTGTCCACCCTCTGCCACACACGCACACACACTCGCACTATACTATTCTACTGTTTCTATACTATTCTACTGTATCTATACTATTCTACTGTATCTATACTATTCTACTGTTTTTCTACTGTATTACTTCTACTGTTCTATTACATACTTCTACTGTTCTATACTATTCTACTGTTCTATACTATTCTACGTTTCTATACTATTCTACTGTTTCTATACTATTCTACTGTATCTATACTATTCTACTGTTATACTTTCTTTATACTATTCTACTAGTTTCTCTTTTGTATATACTGTTCTACTGTTTCTATACTATTCTACTGTTTCTATACTATTCTACTGTTTCTATACTATTCTACTGTTTCTATACTATTCTACTGTTTCTATACTATTCTACTGTTTCTATACTATTCTACTGTTTCTATACTATTCTACTGTTTCTATACTATTCTACTGTATCTATACTATTCTGCTGTTTCTATACTATTCTACAGTTTCTATACTGTTCTACTGTTTCTATACTATTCTACTGTTTCTATACTATTCTCGTTTCTATACTATTCTACTGTTTCTATACTGTTCTACTGTTTCTATACTGTTCTACTGTTTCTATACTATTCTACTGTTTCTATACTATTCTACTGTATCTATACTATTCTACTGTATCTATACTATTCTACTGTTTCTATACTGTTCTACTGTTTCTATACTATTCTACTGTTTCTATACTATTCTACTGTATCTATACTATTCTACTGTATCTTAGTCCATGATGCTCTGAGATCGCTCGTCCATATATGTATATATTCTTAATTCATTCCTTATTAGATTTGTGTGTATTGGGTATATGTTGTGAAATTGTTAGATATTACTTGTTAGATATTACTGCACTGTCGGATCTAGAAGCACAAGCCTTTCGCTACACCCGCAATAACATCTGCTAAACACGTGTATGTGACAAATACCATTTGATTTGATTTGACACACTCGCACACTGCTCAGCTGCTGATTGAAGCCTGCTCAAGAGAAGAGGGGCTGCAGAGAGGGGGCCTGGGTCTGATCCTGGGGTATTTATATCATATATATATATCTATACTATAACCAGTGTTCATAGCAGATAATTGCCTTGTGACGCAGACAAAGGGCGAGTCTTTAATTGTATGCAATTATTTTTCTCATCCTGCTAAACCACAAAGCAGGGTAGTGTTACACAGGGCAAGCCTCCAGAGGCTCTGGCGCCACGGCAGCAAACACACACACACACACACACACACACACACACACACACACACACACACACACACACACACACACACACACACACACACACACACACACACACACACACACACACACACACACACACACACACACACACACACACACACACACACACACACACACACACCACACACACACGTGTCTTTGGCCCTGGGATACAGGCCCTAATGGCACTTTAGTAGGAGAGGACGGAGAGATGAAGTGGTCTGGAGAGAGAATACACACTCAGGCCTTGCCTAGACAGCCAATAGTGCTCGCTAGAGCTGCACTATCGTCTAGGATTAATGTGCATTCCCGGTAATACAATTGTGTCCCCTGTGGACCGTCTCGTACATAAAGCATCCTCCATTCAGGCTGCAAAGGCATAATTTTCCTCCTTAACTAGCTTTAATGGCAAGAAGGCAAGAAAAATAAATAACAAATATGTGTACTGTCTTAACAGTGGTGTAAAGTAAAGTACTACTTAAGTAGATCTGTACTTTACTTTACTATTTATATTTTTGACAACTTTTACTTTTACAGCACTACATTCCTAAAGAAAATAATGTACTTTTTACTCCATACACTTTCCCTGACACCCAAAAGTATTTGTTACATTTTGAATGCTTGGCAGGATAGGAAAATGGTCCAATTCACGCACTTATTAAGAGAACATCCCTGGTTATCTCTACTGCCTCTGATCTGGCGGACTCACTAAACACAAATGCTTCGTTTGTAAATGATGTCTGAGTGTTGGAGTGTACCCCTGGTTATCCCCCCCAAAAAATATATATATATATATATTGGTGCCGTCTGGTTTGCTTAATATAAGGAATTTGAAATGATTTATACTTTTACTTTTAATACTTCAGTATATTTTAACAATTACATTTACTTTTGATACTTAAGTATATTTATTACCAAATACTTTACTGAAGTAGTATTTTACTGGATGACTTTCACTTTTAATTGAGTCATTTTCTATGAAGGTATCTTTACTTTTACTCAAGTATGACAACTGGATACTTTTCCCACCACTGTGTCTTAATAAAACACAATTTTCCACCACCATTTTCGGATTTCGGACAACTTAGGATGTTGCACACCACGTATAGTTGTCAGAAAATCCAAAAATGTGTTAGGGCCAATGGGAGACAAGCTCATTCACTACACCAGCCACTCCTTATCCAACAAACTAAGGGAGTAACGGAGGGAGACAGCTTGTCCCTCTTGTCTGAACCTGTTCTCTACCTCTCAGATCATGAGAGAGGAGGTGCAGAATGTGTGAGGGTCAAACAGATCTATCAACAATCTAGCATTCATCTAGCTACAGTACAGAATATAAATGCTGAGAATCTGGCAAGCATGGATGATGAATCAAAACCAGGCTTGTCCATTTTATTAGTAGCTGTGCCAAGAGCTTTGGGAGCCTGGAACAATGCACTGGCCTGGAGTCAGCTCTTATCTGATCTTAGTGTGTCTGTCCGGGGCTCTAGGGGTTCTGTGAAACACAGGTGCAAAACAAAGACAAACTGCTAGCCAACGGGGTCACGCAGCTCCTTTGAATTGTGTGTGTCACCTTGCTCACAGCCACCCGCAGAAGGGGGAGAGGAGAGAGATGTTCTCACTAACCAGGTCTGACTTAAAGTAGCTGACCGCGTTCTCCTCCAGTAAGAAGTATCTCCTCTTCCAGTTCTTCATCTGCAGAAGGGAAAGGAAAACATTACAGATGGCGGTCAACATTTCCAGCCCTCCAAATCCTTTTGACTTGCTAAGAATGCTGCTAATTGATAGCTATTCCGACATTGTATAGGACCACTGTTTGCTTTAGAATGGCTGGCTTACTGTGGTTAATACATTCCATTAACAGAGCGCTAAGAGAAGTTAGGTCAAAGGCAGGACAACAATGAGTGATACAATTCACCCTCTGAAACATCTGGTCAGAAGCCTGCGGCTATCCAACTCCAACACATCATAGTCCTATAGGACGACAACCACACACAACCAGGAATACTGCTAGTATAAAAAGCTTGTAGCTGAGGGAGAATCTCTCTGAGCTTGTGGTGTACTCACTAGCCACCACAAGGAAGAAAACGGACCGAAACATTTTCCATTGCATTCCCGTATGAATGCGACCCTAGTCTGAGTGTAGGCTGCTGCTACAGCACCAGAAAGAGTTATCCCACTGTCTACTCACCACGGCTCCCTGCTTGACACAGTATCCAGCCTTGATGAGCGCCTGGTCCTGTGCCCCTCGCCCCAGGAAGTAGGGCAGCTGGCTGTGGGCCTTCCGCTGGCCCCCCCGCTCTGCTCCGTTCTGCCCCCCGTCACCCTGCTCCTGCACCACAGGACACACACATAGAAGTGTACAAACACACACGCATGGGAGTATATGCACACGCACAAGCAATCAACGCACCACACACACACACAAACACAGACAGACACACAGACAGACAGACACTGACAGACACACAGACAGACACTGACAGACACACAGAAAGACACACTGACAGACACACATACAGACACACACACAGACAGACTGACAGACACAATCAGATAGTGTGTGTGCCAAGCCCCCACCATATCATCATCTCCAGTGGCTAGAAATGTGTGTTAACAGCAACCAATAATGATAGAGAATTCACCGCCTGTTCCGTAACCGTCAAGCTGAAGTTGAGGCCGGCCCACTGCACCGCCACCACCCACACAGGAAGTGACATCATAGACCATAGCTTGTGCATCTGGATGCCACTTTCAGCCACTATTTCTTAAGATGCCAGGCTACATACCAGATACCAGCACAAGACAGGATATGACTTGTACTGCTCATACGTACCAGAAAACACAGCACAGAGTGAGCTCCTCCTCAGAGGAACATTAAGTTCAATGTCTGTCACTATCTAAAAGATGGCCTGATCCATGGACATTTCTATTCAGACAGACCATCTATTTATATAGCTGAATAATATGGCTGAAATCAAGTTAGTAAGGGAACAAAAACTCAGTTATGGAATGTCGCTTGTTACTGTCCCAAACCCCATTTGACAGATTTGACTAAACTGTTCCAAGCCACAGTAGAGCAGATGGCCTTCAAACATATGTCAGATATGTCCATTTACTCGTGTTTAGGATTGCACATTTTCAGTAACTCTCCCAAAATTCCAGAAACTCCCCAGGTTTTCCAGAAATCCCAGGTGAAGGAATCCTGGATATCCTGCTTATTCCTTCTTGATTCCAGGAATATCCCAACCGGGACTTCTGGAAAACCTGAGAATGTTGGTAAAGTTTCCTGAATTTTTGCAACCTTACTCATGTTTGGTTAGGGCCTGGTTAGTGCTGGGCCAGACTGCTGCATCTTCCTTACCTGTGTGGCAGTGATGATGGGTACTCCACCTATGATCTCTGTCTTATAGGAGATCTGCTTCATGGCACCCAGCCCCTCCTGGGGCATCTCTGCACTGGGCTGGCCATCCCCCGACTTTGGCACCTGGAACATGTCAAATAAACATAAACTCCCAGAGTGCATCAGGGGCCAACATGCTCCAAACCCTTGTTAGATGTGTCCCTCTGCAGTCTCTGTAGTGACACGATGATGTACTCTGCCTGCTCGTTAGTCTATTTTCCATCAACTCTAGCCTGGGGGCTTCAGAGAGCCACTGCTACACTGAGTGGTGACTGGGGTAATCGATTAGTGTGTGTGTGTGTTGTGTGTGTGTGTGTGTGTGTGTATGCTCAGGTCAGGTATCACACTCCAGTGCACACACACACACACAGTCAAACATTGACAGCCGTCTGTATTAATAGAAGTGTGTGGTACAATATATGGAGTGTGTGTGTGTGTGTGTGTGTGTGTGTGTGTGTGTGTGTGTGTGTGTGAGAGAGAGTGTGTGTGTGTGTGTGTGTGTGTGAGAGAGTGTGTGTGTGTGAGTGTGTGTGTGAGTGTGTGTGAGAGAGTGTGTGTGTGAGTGTGTGTGTGAGTGTGTGTGTGTGTGTGTGTTTGTGTGTGTGAGTGTGTGTGTGTGTGAGTGTGTGTGTGTTTGTGTGTGACCTTGTTGAGTGGACTGTGAGACTGTGTTGCAGTGTCAGCAGCAGGACTAAACCCAATAAAGAGAACATGAGAGTCAACAGAGTTTGATGAGACTTCAATACAGTGCGAAGTTATTACATAACTTATTATTATGTTACTTTATACTCAACGCCCAGTCCATTCCCAGTCCATTCCCAGTCCATTCCCCGTACATGAATGTGGTTTAAGAGGAATTAGAGTGGAACATCCTCTCCAGTGAATCCCAGTGAAAGCTGATCCATAGGCACACTGTTCTGTCCTGTCCTGTCCTGTTCGATCCCGGCACTGCCTTTTCCTTAGAGACAGTCCGTGACTCAGAGCACTCGCCTTCCCCTTTGTCCTGCCTGCTCTGCTGTGTGTGTGTGCGGGCCTGTGTGTATGTGAGGGCTAGTCAGGGGGGAGGGAGTGGAGCAGAGAAAGCCACGGTTGCTGCTGTAGCCCTCAGTGACACAGTAAGGGAAATGATCCCCCGTCCAGAGGGGTTTGGATGCCTTGTAGGAAACAGACAGGGGCTCCTGGACCCAGCAGATGAGTGCTTCATAATGTCTTTCTCTCTCTCCACTGTTGACTTGACAGTAGACACACGTGAGGTATGCTGGTCTTGTCATCCTCCTCCATCCCACTCACTCACACTAGCTGAACTGGGATACCATATCCTAATTCTGAATCACAGATAATTTTTCTAACGGGGGTTGAGATGGCAGTAGTCTTGTACTACAGGAGGTAGCAATGTGGGAGGATGTGACAGGGCAGGGGACTCACTGTGATCTTGGTGGCGTTGTTGAGCACGTTGACCCACTCTACCAGATCCTGCTGATCATTGGCCTGGAGGTAGAACTTCCTCATACCAGCATTGATGACTGGGGAGAGAGAGAGAAGGAGAGAGAGAGGGGCGGGAGTGAGAGAGAAATAGAGGGTGATAGAGAGAGGGAGCGAGAGAGATAGAGAGAGGATGACAGAGTGCGAGCGAGAGAGACAGAGAGGGAGAGAGAGATTTGCAGTCAGTTTTCAATAAAAGCCAATTTATGCTCAATCCGAGGAAATGTGCTCCGTATGGAGGGTGTGACGCAATTGCGGAGCCTCCAGAGGCACGCAGATGCCAAATTAAGCTCCGTACCGCATCGGCGTGCGCCGCCCAAATTTTGTAACAATGGTTCCGTATAGCTCCGCATTGACATGATTGGTTGACGGTGGGTGGGGCGGGAGGTCCTGTATAAACACAAACTCACTTCCTTGACAACTTCCTTCACAACAGCTCTGTGCTGCTCCGCGAAGAGCAATGAATGCCCTGCCTTCTGCAGAGGCTGTATCACCGTAAATGCTGCACGGCCAATGCAGATGTCGGATTGACCATGCAGCGCCTTTAAGCGCAGCAGCAGTTCTGTCAGTTAGGTCCATTAGCAGAGTTGAATTATGCATCTCTGTATTTCTGTAACATATTTCTGCTAAGTAGTCTGACACATGCTGTTTAGAGTGCTTGGCTGAGTCCTATGTTCAGAATCCAGAGAGAGAAATTTCCATGCGTCCCAAATACCACCCTTTTCCCTATATCTGTCACACCCTGATCTGTTTCACCTGTCTTTGTGCTGGTCTCCACCCCCCTCCAGGTGTCGACCATCTTCCCCATTATCCCCTGTGTATTTATACCTGTGTTCTCTGTTGTCTCGTCAAGCCTACCAGCATTTTTCCCGTACTCCTGTTTTCCATTTTTTTCCCGGTTTTGACCATTCTGCCTGCCCCGATCCTGAGCCTGCCTGCCGTTTCTGTACCTTTCGGACTCTGTTGTGGATTACTGACCTCTGCCTGCCCTTGACCTGTCGTTTTCCTGCCCCATGTTTTTGTAAATAAACTTTTGCTATTTCGAACTGTCTGCATCTGGGTCTTATCCTGAGTCGTGATAGTACGAACTGGCCATGACTGACCCAGCAGACTCAGACCAGCTCCGCAACGCAGTCGCCTCCCAGGGAGCCACCATTGGAAGACACAAGGAGTTACTTCAAGGTCTTATGGAACGATTCCAGACCTTGGCGGAACGCCAGGACTGTGCCTTCAACACATTGCTGGAGCAATTCTGTGGATTGTCTGTGAGGCAGCCCGCCACTACAGTAACCCCCCAGACTGTCAATTACCCCGCTACCAGCGGCGTTTCTCCCCAATCTACCCCGGCTTCCCAAGAACCCGGCTTACCTCCTCCGGAGCGCTACGCTGGAGATCCCGGATCCTGCCGGGTGTTTCTCTCCCAGTGTTCTCTCATCTTTGAGCTGCAGCCCTCTTCCTTTCCCTCGGATCGTTCAAGGATAGCGTACGTGATAACGCTGATGTCCGGGAGGGCTCTTGCCTGGGCTACGGCGGTGTGGGAGCAACAATCCACAGTTTGCTTCAGACTGGAGGAGTTCATGGCGGATGTACGTAAAGTGTTTGATTCTCCGTTGTCCGGGAGTGAGGCGGCTCCTAAGCTGCTCCAACTATGTCAGGATTCCCGTAGTGTGGCAGACTACGCAGTGGATTTTCGCATGTTGGCGGCTGAGAGTGCCTGGAACCCGGACGTCCTGTTCGACACGTTCCTTCATGGATTATCAGAGGTGATTAAAGACGAGCTCACAGCCCGAGAGCTGCCCCTGGACCTCGACTCCCTCATAGCCTTGACCATCTGGATCGATGGGCGGCTACGGGAACGTAGGAGGGAGAGGGAGTCTGTTCCCTGTCACCGACGCTCATCCTTGATTTCCACCTCGCCTCAGAGGAATCCCAGAAATCCCCGAAGTCCACATTTCCGAGTGGATCCGATGTCGCCCGAGTTCTCCCGGAGGACACTGAGGGCTGTCGAGTCATCTCCTCCGGAGCCCATGCAACTGGGCAGGGCTAGATTGTCTCCCAGAGCTGTCTGTATTGTGGCGCTATGGGACATTTTTTATCTACCTGCCATTAAAGAACCAGGCTCATCAAGTAGGTACTAGTACGCTGGTGAGACGTACGGGGAGTTTCCCCATCTTCCATTTCTCATACCCCTCTCCAAGCTACCCTGTTGAGGGCTGACCGGTCCAAATCTCTCCGGGTGCTCATTGACTCTGGGGCCGACGAGAGATTTATGGACGCTACCCTGGTTTCGGAGCTGTGAACTCTGACGTCCATTCCCATGGACGTCAGAGTGTTGGATGGACGCCTATTGGCAGAGTCACCCACACTACGTTTCCCATTAACCTGAGCGTGTCGGGTAATCACAGTGAGTCTATGCAGTTCCTGCCCACTGAATCCCCTCATGCACCCGTGGTTTTGGGGTTTTACTGGCTCCAGAGGCACAATCCTCTGATCGACTGAGCCTATTTTGCCATGTGCATTGCCTGAAGTCGGCATTGCCTGCCCCGGGACGTCTTCCTACGGACTTGGGAAAAGCCTGTGCCACCTCGCTTTCTCCGCATCGGCCCTATGACTGCGCCATCAACCTTCTCCCGGGCACTACACTGCCTCGGGGGCAGCTTTATTCCCTGTCATGTCCGGAGACCAAGGCGATGGAGACGTATATTGAGGACTCCCTAGCTGCAGGGGGTATCCGTCCTTCTGCCTCCCCTGCTGGTGCAGGTTCTTCTTTGTGGAGAAGAAGGACAAAATCCTGTGTCCGTGTATCGACTACAGGGGCCTGAATGACATCACGGTTAAAAACTGTTACCCGCTTCCACTCATCGCCTCGGCTTTCGAGCCTCTCCAGGGGGCTACCATCTTCTCCAAGTTGGACCTCCGGAACGCCTACCATCTGGTATGGATACGGGAAGGGGATGAGTGGAAGACCGCCTTTAACACGGCTAGCGGGCACTACGAATACCTGGTGATGCCGTTCCGACTGACCAACGCTCCTGCTGTGTTTCAGGCCCTGGTAAACAACGTTCTCCGGGACATATTGAACCGGTTCATATACGTCTACCTTGATGACATCCTCGTGCTTTTCCACTCGGCTCAAGAACATGTCCTCCATGTCAGACAAGTCCTCCAGCATCCTCTGGAGAACCAGCTGTTCCTCAAAGCGGAAAAATGTTAATTCCATCGCTCCACCATCTCCTTCCTTGGATACATCATAGCTGCAGGCAACATACAGATGGATCCTGAAAAGGTGAGAGCGGTGGTGGATTAGCCGCAACCCACCTCCAGAGTCTAGCTGCAACACTTCCTGGGGTTCGCCAATTTCTACCGCCGGTTCATCCGGGGCTACAGCACCAGGGCTTCCCCCCTGTCAGCGCTCACCTCTCCCAAGGTCCTGTTTATGTGGTCTCCAGCTGCAGACCAGACGTCAAGCACCAATTCAATACCGCCCCCATCCTAATCCATCCGGATCCGTCCCGGCAGTTCATGGTGGAGGTCGACGCTTCAGACGTCGGAGTGGGGGCTGTCCTGTCCCAGCGTTCAGCCCAAGACTAAAAGCTGCATCCCTGCGCTTTCCTCTCCTATCGTCTCAACCCCACGGAAAGGATTACGATGTGGGTAACCGGGAACTACTTGCGGTGAAGATGGCGTTGGAGGAGTGGAGGCATTCCTAGTATGGACAGATCACAAGAACCTGGAATATCTCCGCACCGCCAAGCGCCTCAACTCCAGGCAAGTTCGATGGGCCCTGCTATTCACCCGATTCAACTTCACTATCTCCTACCGCCCGGGGTCCAAAAATGTGAAGCCAGATGCGCTGTCACGCCTATATAGCCCCACTGCTACACCATCGGACCCCGAGACCATCCTCCCTACCTCTTGTCTCGCGACTGCACACATCTGGGGTATAGAGAACCGGGTCTGTGAGGCACAGCGTGGGGGTCCCGGACACACCCGGGGGTCCCGGATGTTTGTCCCGGACTCTGCCCATTTCCTCGGTTCTGGAATGGGCTCATTCCTCTCGACTGGCCTGCCATCCTGGCTCCCATCCGACCCTGGCCTTTGTACGACAAGGTTTTTGGTGGCCCACCTTGGTTCCTGACGTCTCCGCGTTTGTCGCCGCCTGCACTGTGTGTGCCCAGAATAAGACTCCTCGGCAAGCTTTGGCTGCCCTCCTTCAACCACTTCCTGTCCCTCACCGTCCCTGGTCACATATATCCCTGGACCGTCACTGGTCTTACCCCGTCTGATGGCAACACGGTTATCCTTACCGTGATGGACCGGTTTTCCAAAGCCGCCCATTTGATTCCTCTCCCCAAGCTACCCTCAGCCAAGGAGACGGCCCAACTCATGGTGCAGCACGTCTTCCGGATCCATGGACTTCCGGTGGACATGGTCTCCGACCGGGGTCCTCAGTTCTCGTCCCAGTTCTGGAAGGCGTTCTGCACGCTCATTGGGTCGTAGGCAAGCCTGTCCTCCAGGTTCCACCCCCAGTCTAACGGCCAGTCGGAACGAGCGAATCAGGACCTGGAGACGACTCTTCGCTGCCTTGTCTCTGCCAATCCCACCACCTGGAGCCAGCAGCTTGTGTGGGTAGAGTACGCCCGGAACACTCTCCACTTGGGATATGCCCCTCCGGGTGGAATCCTGCAAACTTTTCCCCCGTTTTATTGGCCCTTTCCCCATCTCCAAGATTCTTAGCCCCTCTGCTGTTCATCTTCTGTTGCCCCGTACCCTCCGTATTCATCCCACTTTTCATGTGTCTAGTATTAAACATATGTCTCACAGCCCTTTGTGTCATGTTTCGACTTGTCTGCATCTGGGTCTTATCCTGAGTCGTGATAATATCAGGAATAGGGTGCTATTTGGAACACAACTTTTGTCCGGCAGTATTATGGTTCCCATCACTAACGGAGACACAACCTTTGTCCGGCAGTATTATGGTTCCCATCACTAACGGAGACATAAGACCAGTGGACTGTCTTCCACCGTCCCATTCAACGTCTCAGTTTTGTGATCCTCACAGTGATTCACCAGAGCGCTCCAACCCACACACTCGAATGCACGCGCACACGCACGCACACACACTCACACACACACACAGGGCCATATGCTAGACTCAGTCAGGGCTGAGGTAGGTTGACCTCATACTTGGACAGTCAGGTAGCTAATCCTAAAACTACAGTAGTGGAATAGATTGATGTGACTTTGGGGGGACGAATCCAGAAGTGGATCTGTATTATGCAAATACTTAGGTTAAAAATATCCCCGAGTTTTAGAGAGGCGGGTTCCGATTGGGACGCCAGCATCCTGTCATGCAGGAAAGCGGGAGACCCCCCACGCCCCAAACCCGACACCCCCGCTCATCGAACGACATGGTTGGGTCGAGCTAGCACTTGGCGGTCACTGGCAGGTCATCTTACTGCTTCCTTCTATTGAGTGTGGGGGAGCTATACTCCTGACTGGGGCCGCTGAGGGACAAAGGGCCTGTTGAACAACAGCACGTCATACAGGAAATGGTCCCATCCAAACCCCCGCGAGGGATGGAGGGAGGGGGGAGGGAAAGGGAATCTATGGGAAGAGGGGACAGGTGAACAGTGAAACATTTACTGACAGAGGGGCCTCACATCATCAACCTTAGTGTACTAAATAGACTCATTCTAGTTCAATAGCTAAAGATCAGCAGTATTTTGCTACAAGCCTCCCCCTACTCCCACCCCCCCACCCTCCCTGCCCAGTGCCCTCCCCCCCACTTTCCTCCGAATGCTTCCTCCTTCTCAGCCCCCCCCAGACAGCACACTGCTAGAGAGACAATACTAATAGTCATGTACAGTGTTTCACTAACATTTGGTTCTTGAATCACTGAATCAAATCCAAAGGTTGTAGGACTTACCGAAGCAGAACTCCGCCTTTGGTCGCAGCTTTGTGGCATCACTCACCTAGGAGAGGGAGAGAGAGATGTTCACACCTAAGACTGTGGTTGGCCATATCTGTCTCTGTCAGACAGGATATAATTCAACAACCTTATTGGACAACTTGACTGACCTTGGAGATGTAGGTGAGTTTGAGGGAGCCAACATTTTCAGCTCCTTTGGGCAGGTTCTAAACATGAGACCGAGAGAGAGAGAAGAGAAAGAGAAATTGTGAGATTGCAAACGTGAAAACATTATTTTTTTTTTTTTTCAATATAACATTTAGTTTTGGAGGAGAATAGAACTTTGAGTGAATCAGTCTCTGAAGAGCGTCTGAGAATCAGCTAATTCAACAGTGATGTAGGAATGCAACTTTTTACAAGTCTTGGAGAATTGAATTGAATAATTCAGAGCGTAGGGCAGCATCAATTGTACAGGTATTCCTCACTGAGCTCCCACTCCCCACCAAACAAGATGACATGCATTTAAATGGCCTGCAAAGCAGCAGGGGAGTTGAGTCTGATTGTTTCTGTTCACGCCTATGTTTGATTGATTGGTTAGCATCTACATCAGGTTTACAAGATGATTCCTTTATCTTGTCATTTCATGCCAAGGAAAGGAATGCCCAAATCAGTAAGATTAACTTTATACTATAAAGCACAACTCTATTAGTATACTGTACATACTGTCAAGCAGCTATACTTTATGTAGAAGGAGCGTAAAACAACATGCCAGAAGAAGTTCAGAGATTAATTTGCTCAAGTCACACATTACGAGAGTATAGATCTGGGGGAGGGACAGACAGACGGACGGACGGACGTCTGGGCAGATGTGTAACTTGACTCGGTTTCCCCAGACGTAGCATCATCTCCCCAGCCGACGACACACACATTTCCTCTTGATGGCCCAAAGTGGTCTGGCCAGACCAGACGGATCAATCCAGTCCAATACTTTATGAGATTAGGTCAGTCCAAACAGAAGCAGCTATTCAATCCATCCTACCGCTAATGTCCTACTACAGTGCATACAGTTAGTACGTCGGACCGTTTCAGCTGCTGCCCATTCAAGTAATGACATCAGCCTAAATGCATGCGTTGATTAAACACACAGACATTATAGACTGATGACTTGAGGGTAGTGAGAGCATCATAGCTTAACTCATGATCTCCTCTGTGAAATGTATGTAGTCAATAACTACACTTCCCAGTGTGTGTGTGTGTGTGTGTGTGTGTGTGTGTGTTGTGTGTGTGTGTGTGCGTGCGTGTGTCTGTTCTGCATATGTGTGCGTGTGCTTCTGTCAGCTTCTGTGTGTGTGTGTGTGTGTGTGTGTGTGTGTGTGTGTGTGTACTCCCCTGCTGCCCTACCTGTGGGTTGTCCATGTACCACACCAGGCTACCCTCCCTGGTGTCCAGGATGAAGTAGCGTCGGAGGAACTTGCCGCTGTTCTCATTCTCCTCAATGTCCAGGAAGCCACAGATCCGGTTCTGCCGATCCACGTAAGGCATCTCCCCACCTCAGCCTGCTCATTCCACTGTATGCTGGGGAGATGAGGAGAGAGAGAGAGATAGATAGATAGATGAGAGGAAGAGAAGTGGAAGACGAGAGAGAGAGAGATGAGAAGAAGAGTGCAAGAGGAGAGGGGTGGGGGGGGTGGGGGTCGATAGAGAGAGAGAGAAGAGAGAGAGAGAGAGAGAGAGGAGGGGGGGGGGGGGTGGAGAAATATAGACGCGAGCCAGAGAGGGACAAGAGAGGGAGAGAGAGCTAGCAGGAGTGAGAGTCTGTCTCTCAGCTAAGCAGCCAAAGAGAAGAGAGGAGTGAACGGGACAAATCTCGTACACAGCCTCAACACCACACACCGACATACACACCACGACGACACCATCCTACACCACAAAACACAACTACTACACCATCCTACTACACCATCCTACAACACCATCCTACAACACCATCTACTACTAAACCATCCTACAAACACCATCCTACACACCATCCTCACCACTCACACACCACCTAAACCACCTCACACACACCATCTACACCATCCTACAACACCATCCTACAACACCATCACTACACATCACACACATCTACACACAGTTCACCAATCCTACAACACTCATCCTACACACATCCTACTAACCCAACACCATCCTACTACACCATCCTACAACACCATCCTACTACACCATCCTACTACACCATCCTACTACACCATCCTACTACACCATCCTACAACACACCATCCTACTACACCATCCTTCATACTACCATCCTACACTACAACACTACACACTCTACATACAAAACCATCCTACAACACCATCCTACAACACCATCCTACAACACCAATCTACAACACCATTCTACAACACCATTCCTACTCTTTATGGGACAAGCACAGTCAACACTCCCCTCCCTCCCTCCCATCCCCCTCTACCTCATCCCCCCTCTACCTCCACCCCCACTACGTCCCTCACTCCCTCCCTCCCTCCCTCCCTCCCTACGCATTAACAGAGAGGCAGGGCTTAACTCTGATATTAATACAAGCGGGCAGATTTCACAAGGGGCTTCGAGGGGGTTTATAATGCCATAAGTCAACATTTAAGCGCTGGCCACAGAGAGAGGTGGAAGGCTTATGCTGCTTACACTCCCACCTACCTGGGGCCCCTTGATTCCCAGGTTGCCTCGTTAAATGTCATGTCAGCCAAACACTGATGAGTTCAACACAGGCTAAGCCCAACTATCTTTATAATCTCCTCTCCGGAAAAAGTAGTTTCTCTCCATAAATTATACAGGAAATGCAGGAAAAACAGGTAATCTAAATGTTAATGTGGTAACATTCAGTGACCTTCTCCACTTTCCCCCTTAGGTTAGTCGAACTAACTACGGCACAACTTCTCCCTGCACAGTCCTTGTCTCACTGTGTAAAAATGTAAGAAGTATGTCTGCTGATGATCCCGACGATCTGTTGGTGATTGGATTCCCCATCAATGCATTGGTTTTAAAATGACACTATAAATACCAGAGGCTGTCCAGACCAGGGTCGTGTACATTAGGCACCAAATTGAAGAAAACAGACCAAACCGGGAGGGACTACCTGGAACTGTCCAATAAGACACTCTCATTTTAGCTGCAAAACGTTTTAACATGTTGTGTGCCCAAGTACACGACCATGGTGAGCGTGCTGTAGTGAGCCCATTCAGGTGGGGTAGCCTATATGGCAAGGGTCCCCAATTACATTCAGCCGTGGGCTGATTTTGCCTTGAGCGGATGGTCGAGGGGCCGGAACACAGTTATAAATAATTTGTACACTGCAAACTTACCGCAAGAATCCCAAAACAGAATCATTTCAAACCTTGATTAGTGATTACATTGGGATACGATCGCATATGCCTCTCTATTTACATTTACATTTACATTTTAGTCATTTAGCAGACGCTCTTATCCAGAGCGACTTACAGTTAGTGAGTGCATACATTTTCATACTGGCCCCTCATGGGAAACGAACCCACAACCCTGGCGTTGCAAGCGCCATGCTCTACCAACTGAGCTACAGGGGACTACATTTATGCGTGGGAATACTTGGGAACAGATTTCCTTTCACTTTGAGCTAATTTCCTGGTGATTTTACAGTGTTTTATGTCCAACAACAAAAATTATTAAAACAATTTGCTATATGGTGTCCCTGTGGTGTTGTGTATTTGCCAAGGCAGCAGCTACTCTTCCTGGGGTCCAGCAAAATTAAGGCAGTTATACATTTTCAAAACATTCATAACAGATTTCACAACATATGTGCCAATGTGGCCCTGTACAGCCAAACTATCCAAAGCCTTCAGACATCAAAGGGCCCAGGCCCCTGAGGCCCCAGCTCCTGTATATGGTGTTGAGAGGTTAATGGTGCTGAAAGCTAGGCCCGGCCACACACACACACACACACACACACACACACACACACAGACCAACGATACACATTTCCTGCCGCCTGGGTCCGTCCAGGGGGAGGAAGTGTGAGCGTGGCTGAGGCCTGGGCCTATTGACAAACAGGCCGCTCCATGGGATCTCTCCAAGGCCAGTTTCCCATCAATCAGGGGCATTGGGAGCGTTGGGGGAGCGTTTGGTGTCCAGAGGGGCTGCTAGGTAATGACGTGACCTCTGACCCAGGGGTAATAACTAACATGCAGCGTTAAGGTTCAAGGGTTAAGGCTGACGGACAGGTACAGTATAGAGATGCTGGGTAAGTAAACACACTGGGCTTAACAAACTAATCGTGGCCAGGTGCCCTGGAGATGCCACACACACACACACACACACACACACACACACCCACACACACACACACACACACCCACACACACACACACACACACACACACACACACACACACACACACACACACACACACACACACACACACACACACACACACACAGCTATATAGCAGCAGGGTACTGCACACCAGGAGGAGTCAGTGGTGTAAAGTACTTAAGTAAAAATACTTTTGTGGTATCTGTACTTTACTTTAATATTTATATTTTTGACACATTTTACTTTACTACATTCCTAAAGAAAATAATGTACTTTTTACTCCATACATTTTCCCTGACACCCAAAAGTACTCGTTACATTTTGAATGCTTACCAGGACAGGAAAATGGTCCAATTCACACACTTATCAAGAGAACAACCCTGGTCATCTCTACTGTCTCTGATTTGATGGACTCACTAAACACAAATGCTTCGTTTGTAAAGGATGTCTGAGTGTTGGAGCGTGCCCCTGGCTCTCTGTAAATAAATAAAAAACAAGAAAATGGACAGGAAAATGGTCCAATTCACACACTTATCAAGAGAACAACCCTGGTCATCTCTACTGCCTCTGATCTGGCGGACTCACTAAACACAAATGCTTCGTTTGTAAAGGATGTCTGAGTGTTGGAGCGTGACCCTGGCTCTCCGTAAATAAAAAAATAATTAATAAAATGGTGCCGTCTGGTTTGCTTAATATAAGAATTTGAAATAATTCATACTTTTACTTTTACTTTTGTTACTTAAGTATATTTTAGTAATTATATCTACTTTTGATACTTAAGTATATTTAAAAATCAAATACTCTTAGACTTTTACTCAACTAGTATTTTGCTGGGGGACTTTCACTTTTACTAAGGTATCTTTACTTGTACGCAAGTATGACAATTGGGTGCTGCTGTTTCCACCACTGAAGTTAATGACAGAAAAGAGGAAGAAAGAGTCTGTGTGTGTGTGTGTGTGTGTGTGTGTTGTGATGTGATGTGATGTGATGTGATGTGATGAGGAAGCAGAGGGACGTGTAGTAAGATGTAAGAGGAGAGGGACAATTCCACAGTAATAGATTTACAGTAATAGATTTGCCAAACAAAAGATATTGATTTTAAAGTTTAACAAACCATACAACGCTATGCACAAGGACTATTTTGAACAATGTGCACAGAACATTTCACAAAAACACATTTACTGGAATAACTGTGCAGATGCTAAGTTTGGTAACAGAATCACGGTAAAATCTCCCTCAGTTTTTATGCAACCACGTTTTCCAAAAACTGTGAAATATCTGCTCCGAATTAATGTTCAAAGATGTCTGTAGAAAGAATGGTGTGTCAGCTATGACATGACACCTTGAGCTTGAAAATATATTCTACATTCTACACACTGGCTATTATTCTAATGAGCTCCGCCCCCAAACAAGACAGAATTTATTTCACAAGTTTGGACAGTTGAGAACAGTATAGTACAGTAAAGTATAGTTCAGTAGAGTACAATACAGTACATTATACTGTACTGTACTCTAGTGTGCTCTACTGTACTGTACTGTACTCTACTGTGCTGTCCAAACTTGTGAAACATAGATGTCTATGATTGGTTCAGATTTGGTTCCAGTCACAGATCATGGATATCTATGTTTGGGGCCAAATCATGGCCGGTTCGGTCCAGAAAACATCTGTGGACGTTGAAATCAAGGCCAGGGCGAACTGACCAAATTTAAACTACTTTTCAACGTCCATGGATGTCCGGTGTTGGTCGGTGCTCAGTGGGCTAAGTGGGTGCGGATGCTGGTTACAGTAAATGAAAAGAGAGGGGGCTCATGGGTCGGTGTCAGTAAGAGCCGAGAGAGATAACATTAAATAGAGAGAGAGAGAGAAAGGGGTTGTCCAGACTGTTTTCATACTTGCTTTGACCACCAGCTGACAGAAAGAGAAAGAAAACAGGTATGAGCTGAACATAACAGTATGCCAGTGGAAGAGAGGACAGTAGGTGACCCAACTGTGGTTTGTGACTACTACGATTTCACATTGTAACCAATTCGTGGTCCTCTGTAGCTCAGCTGGTAGAGCACGGCGCTTGTAACGCTAAGGTAGTGGGTTCGATCTCCGGGACCACCCATACACAAAAAAAAATGTATGCACGCATGACTGTAAGTCGCTTTGGATAAAAGCGTCTGCTAAATGGCATATTATTATTATTAATTCAATTGCAGTAATTCCGTTACAAATATTTCTGAAATTC